AGGATATTTGACCATCTTGTGTGTGTTTTTAGTGTGTGTTGGTGAGATTTGAGAAAGAAGAGCTTGGAAGAAGGAGCCTTGATCAAAAGAGAGCTTGTAGATCCAGACTTCACACACCATTTCCATATTCATTGAGGTATAAAGCTTGGAACTTGCTCCTTGAATGCTTAGATCTAGTCTTTATGAGGTTTTGGTCCCTTTTTGGTCCTATGATGAGATCTAGTGGTTTTCTTCCACTCCAGAAGTTAGGACTTGCTTCTCTTGATGTTTCTGAGGTCCCTAGTCCATAAAGTTATCATCTTGATGGTTGTGGATTAACCATGCAATTGTTTAGGTCCATTTGGTGAAAGTAGAATGCTAAAAGTAAGGTTTGGGTTCTTTTGAGCCATACAGAGGCTCCAAGTTCACGACTTTATGGATTAAAACGTTCCATAAGACTTAGATCTGAAGTTGGATGAAAATGTCTTAAGGGAATAAGACCCTAAGTTGGAGTTTGGGACTTTGGCCAGTACGTCGGGCGTACTCCGTAGTACGCTGTGCGTACTGGGTCAGCATGCCGAAGGTCAGGTCAACGCGCGTATGCGGTGCGTACGAAGGGTACGCATGACGTACGCTGTAATTGGGCTATTTTTCGTTTTGGACCTTCTTTTGGACTTGGACTCCCTTTGGACTTTGGGCCTTAGTTGGATTTTGGGCCTTGTATATGTTGGGTCATAGTTGGACCTTAGGTTATGGGTTGGGACATTATTGGGCCTTGGACCACTATAGGGTTATTGGGCCAAGCTACTTGAGCCAAATAAGGGAAAAAGTAGGATAGTCTTTTTACCCTAGATGTTGAGGGTGTTGGGTCGGGGACCCCAATTATGAATTTTGACCTAATTATTAATTAGGGTATTGTTTAATTGTTTAGCGTGAGGATTTTCCGGATCAACAATCCGAGCATTTATCTGATTTTCAGCAGTTGATGTGAGTCCCCTCACAGTATTTAGCGGTCGAAGGTACCAATGTCGGCCCATGATTTATTATGATTAGGATGCTAGTTGTCTGTGTGACTCTGGCATGTGTAGTATGTGATATGTATATCGGGCGGGGTCCGATGTCAGGCGAGGGCTGATGGGTGTATGGTATGATATTTAACTTAGTGATTATTGCATGTGTTTATGTGTCTGTATGAATTCCGGGTCGGGCCCAATGCCAGACGGGGCCTAATGAATGTGATGGATGTGGCCCATCTCATGTTCTGATAGATCTGTTCCGAGCGGGGCTCGATGCCGGGCGGGGCCCGATGGTGGTTGGGCATGACCCATTGTATTTTTGATATGTATGGTATGAGGTATTTTGAGGAATTCATTAAGCTTCGTGTTTACAGTTTTCAGTTTATGTTTCAGGAAGGGGAAGAGCTCGGGATGATCACATCGCACACACCATACTGATTGTTGTCTCTTTCTATCCAATTTAGTTAGATTTGATATTGATGTTGGAATTAGGCTAATTTTTTATTTCAAATGAATGGTTGTGGTGGTGGACGTTGCTATGGTTGTGGAGTTGGAGAGGAGAGAAATGAATGTTTTTTTTATTATTTATTATTTTTTATTTCTTTTTTGTAAATTGCAAAATGGTGATGAGTGGGTAGCGGGTAGGGTAGGGTGTTATTTATTTATTTCCTTTTTTTTTTAAATTGCATTTTAACAATAAAGGTAAAAAAAATGAAAAAATTATTTTATATGGGTTAGGACCAACCAAAGTTTTAGAAAGTTTACATGGGTTAAACCAACCTCTCAAAATTTTAGAAACTACAAAGACTATGCTATTAAAAGAAAATTCAGAATAGATTAAGTTTATGACTTTGATAAGCCATAAAAACGGTTTATATAATTTTGTTTAATTGTTTTTCAAGCATGGTACGTTGTGTTTTTCTAAATTTTTATTAATTTTATATAAAAAAAGTAAATAATTTTGATGCAATAAATTTTTTATAGATTTGACGTGGTTTTATAAGCCCTAAAAATAACACGTTCATTAGAATAGTCTTTTATTCGTGTAGTGTAGATGCTTATTGATAATTTGATACGCATGATTGATAGCATCACTCTGAAAGCTGGGATTTTTCCAGCTAGGTTTACATCTCTCAAATCTCTATTGTTCCATTCCATCTTTAATAATTTTGAAGTTATCTACAAACCTAGAGTCGCTTTCTAGCATCCCAAGAACTCAACCTGAAGAATTTTTTTACAAGATTTCTTGCTTAGTCATTCCACTTCCTCTTCTTTTGTCGTCTTTGTTGTCTGTTCTTTTACCCAGATGCAAAATAATCTTCAAATCTTTATGTAACAAATCTCACTACTTGATTCATCTGTTCTTTTGTTTGACTCTGGTCTAAAAATCCTTCCTTTTAACATCTCGATCTTTCTCACTTACGAATCTTGTGCTCTTTTAAGTTTTTGTGGGGTTTCGTTGTGGAAACAGTATCCTCATCTACTTTTTTCAAAGAAGATAACACCTGTCTTTTACCTTATGAGGAACCCAAGAAGGGGTTTTCGAGTTTGTGTACTATTTTTGCTGATTCCATTCCTCTGTTGGGTGGAATCAGTGAATGGAATCGGTGCTAACTGGGGAACACAGTCGTCTCACCCACTGCCGCCGGAAACAGTGGTGAGGATGCTGGTGGACAATGGAATCCAAAAGGTGAAGCTTTTCGATGCAGATTATGGGGCTTTGAGAGCTTTGAGTAAGTCCGGAATTGAGGTCATGGTTGGAATCCCTAATGACATGCTTTCTACCATGGCTAGCAGCATGAAAGCTGCTGAGAAATGGGTTTCCAAAAATGTTTCAGCCCATCTTACTAATAGTGTCAACATCAGGTCACCACTTCATTACTTTTCTATCTTTTGAGCTTTTACTTAATCCTAATCGTTTACCCTTTTTGTATTTCCGATTGTTGTGATGTTTACATCCATTTGATGTATACATCATACGTTTGTTGGCCTTTAAAATGGAAAAAGTTGGAAACTTTAAGCTACGGATGAGGTTGTTCATATTTAGTCTTTGAGATTTTACTTTTTATAGCTTGGATGGTGTAAACTCTATTTTGGAACATAAATCTTTTTGGCCGATTATATAAGGTAGGGTATGGTATTATGATAGAATCAGGAAATGAATGGAGTAGTTGGTTCCATTCCATTGAAAAAGATGTTTTTATTTTGTTAATTTCCATTCATTCATTAGCAAGGAGTGTCTTATCTCCAATTGTCCATCCATAACATCCATTCCATTCCTACACCCCAACTAAACATGTCCATGTTCATGGAATGTAATGACTGATTCCATTCCGTTGTGATTACAGATATGTAGCGGTCGGAAACGAACCATTCCTAGCAACATACAACGGTTCCTTCCTCCGAACAACATTCCCGGCTCTCCAAAACATCCAAGCCGCGTTGGTCAAAGCCGGACTCGGGACCAAAGTCAAAGTGACCGTCCCCCAAAACGCGGACGTCTACGAAAGCGGCGCCTCCGGCGTCCCATCTTCCGGTGACTTCCGCGCCGACATCCACGATTACATCTTCCAAATCACCAAATTCCTAAACGACAACGGGTCCCCCTTCACGGTCAACATCTACCCTTTCATAAGCCTCTACATCGATTCCAACTTCCCGGTGGAATACGCGTTCTTCGACGGTCAAGCCACCCCGGTGAACGACGGAGGGACCACTTACACCAACATGTTCGACGCCAACTACGATACCCTCGTGTGGGCCCTACAAAAGAACGGGCTTGCAAACATGGGAATCATAGTAGGGGAAATCGGGTGGCCGAGTGATGGAGACCGGAATGGAAACAACGAGTATGCGCAACGCTTCATGCAAGGGTTTATGAGTAGGGTAGCGGGCGGGAAAGGGACGCCGATGAGACAAGGTCCGATTGAAGCGTATTTGTTTAGTTTGATTGATGAGGATGAGAAAAGTATTCAACCGGGGAATTTCGAGAGGCATTGGGGGGTGTTTTATTATGACGGGCAGCCGAAATACGCGTTGAACCTTGGGACGACTGTGACCGGGGCACTTGTGCCTGCCCGGAATTTGAAGTATTTACAAAGGAAGTGGTGTGTGTTGAAGGATTCGGTTAAGATGGATGACCCGTCGATTGCGCAATCGGTTAGTTACGCGTGTGCGCTTGGGGATTGTACGAGTTTGGGGTACGGGACTTCGTGTGGTGATTTGGATGCAAAACAGAATATTTCGTATGCGTTTAATAGTTATTATCAGATTAATAATCAAGTTGATGAGGCGTGTAAGTTTCCTAATGTTTCAACGGTTACTAAAGATGATCCATCAACTGGGAGTTGCAGGTTTGGGATTATGATCGAGCCTTATTATGCGGGTGCTGATGGAAGACGTGCTTCTGTTGGGTTTCTTGTGGGACTGGTTTTGTTGTTGCTTATTGTTTTGTAGATGACTTTGTGATGTGTTATGTCTCCAACAGGTGTGGTGACCTTATTTTCATGAAGAGTTTCATTCTAAAATTTTGAGCTCTTCGATTTTGTATGCCAACTTTTCGGTTTCTTTGTGGTTTGACTTTTGAGACTTTTTATCTCTCAGATTTGTGATCCCTTGTGTAAAAAGGTCGTGGAACAGGGTAAATTGCAGGAAATAGCAATGTAGTTTATTTCTTTCGTATACTTCATTATTGGCAATGTGGTTCAATTTGTTTTTCCATAATAGCAACATGGTTGCATTTTCTTCAAATATATAGGCTATAGCAACATACTTATAAAGTTATAAATCCTTCCTCATGATAGAAACTCCTTACTTTTACCACAAGATGCAATAAATAAAGTGGATTGCTCATATTTGTAACAAAATATATGTATGTCACTATTATGAGTATGCGATAAAGTACAATTCTATTATTGGTAAAGAATGTGTTGTTATTATGGATAATAAAGCACATTGCCAATATTGGTATGATTAGTAAAGTATGTTTTTTATTTTCTGCAATTTGCCCAATAGAATTTATTATTCAGTTATTTACAACAACCTTGTATTTATAAACTAAGCCACCCTTAAAGTTTACATATAAAGAAAGGGTGAATCAGGAAATACAGGAATATTATCTCATTATTGACTAGCATAATGGTGTATTTACAAACAACAAATGTGAATATGGCCTCTACACTTTCTTCTAACTTATGACCACTAAATTCTCAAGGCGAATCAGGGACAGAAACAGTATCCACCAATTCACGAGCCATGGTTTCATGTGGGAAGAACACAACACAAACACCTGAAAGAATAATCACAACCTCAAACAGAACAATTGCCGCCGTTTGGTGGCAACCAGCCACCAGATAAACCGCCACAAGAGGGCAAATCATTCCCCCTACTCTACCCACAGAGCTTGCTACCCCAACACCAGTTGCCCTTACAGCAGTAGGATATATCTATAGAAAGAAGCGTATAAAGAGTAAAGAAAAGATAATAGGATAAAAGTAGATTCCTTAATTTGGTTGAGGAAAGAGAGTATACCTCTGGTGCGTATATATTGGCAATGGTGAAAGTTCCAATGATGAACATGCGTGATCCAAATAAGGAAGCTGTTGTGAGAATTTCAGATTGGTGTGAAAGGAGTGGTAGAAGGAATATGAAGCCTATGAAGAACATGAGTTCCATTGAATGCTTGCGCCCAATCCTGTCCACTGTGAATGCTGCAAAAAGAAGTCCGGGAAGCTCTGGAAAAAAAACAATAATACATAAAAGATGTTTTAGTGCATGAAAAGGTGTTAGAAATTATAGAAAAGATGGTGTCTCATACCTGCCAAACTGGTGATGAATACATCTCTATACATAAAATCTTCAGAAGAACCATTAACAGAAGACAAAGTCAACGAAGCACAGTGACTTTGCCCACTGGTCAACTCTGAGGTCAGCAGTATGATCCCATAGTATGAAAATGCATTTCCAAAAAACACGACCCATAATAAAAACGTGGTTTTAATCAAACTTGATGAAAACAGCATCCACAGGGTTGAGAAGCCTGTTTTAAAATCAACCATTTTGTTTGTTTTTGGAGACAGCAAATGGGCATCCTCTAATGTATCAAAATCTTCATCAAAACAGGCGATTTGATCAGAAAGAAGGATCCCAGAAGGAAGTTGTTTTTTGTTGACAGCTGCTGCTCTTTTCAGAATATTGTAAGCTGTAGTTGTTTGGCCTTTTAAACATAAATATCTTGGGGATTCTGGGACAAGATTATAAAAGATGAGAGCAGCTATAGCAGGAAGTGAAGATATTGCAAGCAACCACCTCCAACCAAAACGTGGCATCACGATCTAAACAAAAAGAATTAAAAAAGTATGAAAATTTATATTAAAACACTAATAAAACATTGCTGTTTATTGAATTTAGCCCTTAAAATTTCAAGCAAAAATAAATAAAAGATGATGGGAGGGAAAGAGGTGTACCCAAGCAAGAGAAGCCTCAACTATTGTTCCTATTGTCCAGAAAGTTGCAAAAATAACCATCCATCTTCCTCTACTTGGAATAGGAACAAACTCCAAAAACCAAGAATTATAAGTGGGCCCACCACCCAGACCGATGCCTCCTATGCAACGAAGAATCACCAATGAAATATAGTTTGGAGAGAAAGCACTTAAAAGTGAAGCTCCACTAGTCACAATAGCAATACTCAGAAGACCTTTTCTAGTGAAGGAAAATGCAGGCAACCAGTTATTACAACACACAAACACAGACAGAATCAAGTTTATAAGATGAGAGGATAATTAGTAAGATAAATAGTATTATTATGGTTAGAAAGATATATAGTGATGAAAGAAGAGTAGGTGTATTTTTACCTCCTTCCAAAGTTATCAGAGATGGCACCCCAGGAATATGCCCCGATAAGCATACCAGCAAAAACCACAGTTGTAATAAGGCTCTCTTGAGTAGATGAGAGGTTCCATTCAGACCTAACTGATGGACCAATGAAAGAAAGAATCATCACCTCCATTGCCTCAGCAATGGAACCAAGACCTGCATAAGCAATTATCCATCCTTGATACTTCCCAAATCCAATGGCCAGAAGTGCTTCATCTAATGTATATGTAGATCCCTGATCTGTCATCTATACATACAGTTCAATCTCATATAAGATACACAGTTCTCTCTTTATAATCAATAGCTAGACAACAATGACAGAGATTAGGCTTTAATCTCAAAAAAATAAAAATTCGACACAGGTATTTGTGGTTCTCCAGCAATGTGGTACTTCAGCATAACCTTGCTATAGTGTCAAAGATATATTAAAAGGATATTATCACGTTCCAGAATCACTACAATTGGTTCCTGACATTACACGTTTCCCCGAATATCATCACAATTTCAACCGAGAAGAAAATAATTCACGAAATACAAAACAAATTTCACAGAAATTAAGCTCGCGTTCTGTAAATTGAAATACTAAACCATGAAACTAAGAAACTAAGAGTTCTGGACTCAAAACTAGAAGGACTTCATGGAGGTAAATTCAATAACAGACTTCGATTCAAATTCAACATCAATATTATTCTCTGAATTACACAAGTCCGATAGAAGATACAAAACATGAAGCTCGTTTTCTTCGATAATTGGTTGTGGTAAACGAAAGAGTACAAGATTTAAGAGGGAATTCTTCTGAAGAAATAGAAATAGTACTAATATGTACCTTGAATGAGCTCAAATGGTGAGGCCGGGTCCACGAAGTCCTTCACTCCGAACCACTGCTCATTGCTTCAAGAGGAACGGTGGGGTTGCAGGTTGAGTGTGTGGAAAGTGGAAACTGTTACGAGAAACAGAGGCGTAGCGCATACGGAATACGGCTCACGAGCAACATACGGTTATGCAATCGGCAATAAGCATCTAAATCTAAAATGAAAATATATAGATACTGCCAAAGAAAATACAGAAGCTTGCAAAATTTTATTGGTTTTATTATCTTTGTCGGTTTTAAAACAAAAAATATGCTATGTTTTATTTTTTAAGGTATACGAGTATGTTATTTATTTATTTTTATTTTTGACAAAAATAGCATGTCGTTTTCATTTTCAAAATAAAAATAACATATATACTACTCTTATTGTTATGGCAAAATTACTTTTTAAGGTAAATGAGTATGTTACTTTTATTTTTTTCATGACAAAAATTGCTATGTTGCTTTCGTCTCGAATTCACAGTGAATTCAAACTTTAAAAAAATTAACACTTGTGAGAAATGAAGACTCAAAAAGGTCATCTCATATTTAAAGAATAGAAAATACTATTTTTTTTCTCTGTCTATATGTCTGTTTGGTTTTGATATGTTGCTCTTTAGTTTTTGTCATGAATTTGTGTGTATGTATAAAGTTATGTCGTGTATTTTTCTAATAAGCATATTTGTGTATGTATAAATGAGTAGTTGTTTTTGTAAGATTTTTGGTATGCTATATAGCTATTGTAAAGACTATACATACGTTTACATAATTTTGTGTAGGTTTTATATCTAGGTGTATATGTGAATATGTAATTTTTTAATTACAACTACTTTTCCATTTGTAGCAATTTACTTCCATTAGATTTGCAAAAAACCATTATAATTACCACTAATGAGTTTTTTCCGTTTATAGCAATGTACTTTCAGCAAAAAATTATTGCTTAAACTCTCGCTGCAATGTGTAGGCTTAAAACCATCGTTATAATGTATGTCTCAGTTGTTCTATGTCATTAGCTCTACTAGAACGTATCACATCATGATCAAGTAGCCTGTAAGAGGCCCTCGAAGTCTTGTATATGGATTATAGATCTAGTTGGTGTTGTTTCATGAGTGTGATCCCAAAAGAAACCCTAATTAACATAAAACATATTTCACTACTCGTTTGCCATGAAAACATAACTTCAATTACATATTTTTAATCCAACAACGAGAATGGGTGACAAACACAATATATAAATATTTTACATTGATATATGACAATTGTAGTGGATGATCATTAAAAGTCAAGGTATGACGGAGTTAAAGGTTTAAACACCTTCCTTCCCTTGGTCTCCACCAAGTCTAAATGCTTTTCAAGCATATGCATATAAACTATCCAATCCCCATTTTTCCTAACACTCGGCATCGGCATTACATATCCAGTTTGACCACCCCATGGAAAATGATACGACCCAAAATGTGGTTTACCCCATCCAAAATCAATGTTTTCTACAGGAAAGCGCTGCCCTGATGACACAACTACGGCTTCACCCTCATTTTCTTCCATTTTAGTGTATATTCTTGCAACTGCTGGCTCGGGTCGATGCAACTCAACCCAATCAATGAGTCCCCTAAAATGTTCCTCAGTCATTGTAGGACCCACAAACTCATGGATCATGTCAGCGACTCGACTGAGTGGCATTTCCTTTAGATCTCCACAATTCGCCTCACCATAAGGGATTGATAGTACATTTCCAAAGTAGTTTCGCATGGAAGAAGAGTTGGTTTTCGATAAAGAGAGTTTGTCAAAGTTGACCTCGTTTAGCCTTTCTCTCCCATCAACTACAACGCCCATCTTACACGTGTTGAAGCCGTCATCACACTCTGCAATTATCTTCCATAAATAGGCAATAAATGATACAACCTTACTTCTTTTTGGGTTTCCATTAAAACTGGAATTCGATTGAAGGTCATTAATATCTTTGGATTGGATGTAGTATATGCGGCTTATGAGGGGTTCGGCTGGGAAATAAGACCGTGGTGGAGGGAGAGATGATAAAGGGACGAATAGGGTGTTGTAGAAGGTGTCCATAACAGGTGGGCGTCTTGGGTTAAGCATGGAACGCCTGAAAGATGGAAGAGACGAAATTTGTTTCGATTGAGAAATTTCAGCCCATGCAATTAAAAACATGTTTATTGAGTACGCATCAGCTATTCGATGATCAAATGTGCATCCAATTACCAAACCTCCACAGTTTAGCTCTGTGACCTAGGCAACATAACAATATAGAGGAAATAGAGATAAAATTAGAAATATTTACATATAGGTCAAACTTTAATTATTATTTTCAGTAATGTTAGTATTAGTACTAGAGTGGTGTAGTAGTTTTGAAAAAAATTGCATGCATAGTATTAATTAGTAGTGTAGTAGTTTTGAAAAAAATTTCATGCATGACATCCTTTATTCTTTACATCCGATGTCATCTACTCTCTCAAAATTCCTACTAACTTCTCCTTCAAAGCATGATAAGATTTTTTTAGTAAACAAATAACTAAGGAAAGAACAAAAGCATTCTAGTATTAGTTAATTAATTGATCTCATGTCTTTTTCATGTGTTATGAGTAAGCTGTTAATTACTGTGTAGTTAAAAATATGCATATTACCCCATAAATTACAAATATTGATTAGACGACTAATTTTACTATTTTTAGGCTTTCCCCTTGCGTTTGGAAGTTGGAGCTTGGAACTTATCCCGATCGACCTTTTGCCTATTTATTTTGCTGTCAAAAAGAAAAGACTAATTACTATTGTATTGTGATCAGTTAGATTTGTCCAAAAAGTTGCTAACGATCGATCGATACATGATAACCTAACATTCTCGTTTTTTAAAATCTTTTTTTTTTTGATCAATTAAAAGCGGAAAGTTACAATTCCTTGAGTGTGTTTTCCAGCTGGTGTTTAAAATGGGTGGAAATAAAGTTAATTATGTCTCCAATTAAGTAGTACGTACGAGTGTCTAGGCATATCATACATAAGTTAACTAATTATTCACGTATACCTGAACAGAAAGAACGCCTCGTTTTTTAGTGGGAACAAGTTTTCTCTCTACAGAATCATCTGGGTGGTGGAGATCAATCCGCCTAAGCTCCATGTCAGCATGCGCATGAATGAAATCCACACCACGGTTATTACAGAGCAGCTCAGGTTCACCATCGTTGTTTTGGACAACTTCTCCAGCGAACGGGTAAAACGGAGCTAGTGCTTGTGCTAGTGATTTCTTGATTATCTTCACACTTTCTTCATGAGGAAGAGATCTTTTGTAGCAGAAGAAAACTCCGACGTCCAATGGCGGAAGGAGTAGGTCTAGGTTTGACATCTGTAGCCAGTGGTCTTGCACAGGCAATGTGGCGGCGATGATGTCCCTTTGCTTCACACTTACTGAAAAAATTCCACATGAACCCATTGTGTACTTTTTAGTGTAGTAAAAGAATTGAGTCAGCAGTTTGTTTTGGAGAGGTGTATGTGTGTTTAAGTGAGAGAAGATTAGAAATTATGTATGTAAGAGCTGGTTAGAAAAGGATGCTTTATATAAGAAAAAGGGAGCATGTTTTCATTAATTAGTGCTAATAATATAACTACGACTAAAGTAAAAGTGGTTGGCGTTCGGTTGAAACTATATTTGACAATGGTAGATTGTACTTCATTTCACCAACCACATTTAATCTTTTTCACCACATCAAGATCCATTTTTTGGAGAATACATCTTCGCATTCCCACAATTCACTTTTCATATTCACCAAGACTTATAAACATATAAACCAATTAAATAATATGCTTATGTAAATACGTTTCAGTAATAATATTATAGACAAAAAACTAATAAAACCAACAAATTAACAATAGTATATTATATTATTGCATCTAGATCTTTGACCTTTGGTGAATTAGGTCAACTGCCCGGGTTAAAAGGATCCAACAAATTTACATGGTACTCTACATAACCAAACCACCAAACTCTCTTCATTGTTTTCGATCCTTTCTGTAAATATTATATTCATATTCATATGTTTTTTCAAGATGATGATGGTTTATGTCACGATTATTGTTTCTTTAGTTATAGGCTTGACTTATGCATATGTGTTATACTCTTTCATTTCCGAACGTTACTTGTGGGGTTTTTCAACATAATCGATCTTCATAAAGTGAAAAATCTCATTTTAAGACCTATTAAATTTTCAAAACCAAAGAAGAACTAATCACACTTATATTATGGGTCATTAAATTGGTTGCTTTTAATATGGGAATCGATTCGATGGCACGCCTAAAAGCAGAAACTTTGCTTCATTTGACTGGAATTACTAAAATTAATTGTCAATCTATTTTAAAGTAGATGATTATGTTGCGATCTAAACAAATTTTGATGATATGGGGATTTTGAACGATTCAAAGAGCCAGGGCAAAATGGGTAAATTATCATTCCTTTCCCGATGCTATTATTGCATACCAAGCAAGGGCTTAGGGTTTTCTGTGACTTCTTGAGTTGCACAATTTATTTGCGGAGTAGTACCTTGACATACATACGAATGTATATTATTGATCTGCCTCTCCTACCTTCTTCTCGAGAATTTTACAAGTATTATTTGATATAAAAAATATAATTTCCAACGATATAAAGAAGAGTGGACATTGATATTGAAAATATTTCATGTTTAACTAGATGTTTGCCCGTACAAAGCAGCAACGATAAATAGCTTTTTGGGCAAATAGTTTTCTTACGGAAAATAATTATTAGATTTTGTTATTAGTTATTATGTAATAATAAAAATTTCCACTTTTAATTAAAATATTTATGTTTAGAACTTATATCTATATTGCATGTTTATACATTTGATGTAAATTAATTATTATCGGTATCTAGTTTAAAAAATGTAAATTAACTTATATTGATGGATTTAATATTTTAAAATTGTTATGTACAGATTTACAGTGAAAATCACCATGAGTAGTCTCTCTCTCTCTCTCTCTCTAGAAAATCATGCCACACAATTACATATTTGTTGCTAAACTGTTTGTATTACGTCTCGAAAAGCGTTAAAATTTCGGTTTTAGATATCGTCGGGATTGTCGTTAATTACTGACATATTTTTTATTTTTTTTCCTTGCAT